AACAAATAGAATAATAATAATAAATAAACAAAAACAATTTCAATACAAATCTCCTCTATCTATATATGTAAACAAGAGTATCTATGTTTCGACTTTCTTCATTCATTCCTCACATAGTTTTGCTAGCTTGACAAAATTTTTCTCGCTATGAGCTTTTGGGTAATTGGCTGCGTAGCATTTCAATTAGTTTGTTGGCCGTCAATTTTGGCAATTGGAAATTTGCAACTGTTGACTCATAAATTGTGAGCCAAATCACTGCCCCGATCAGGCAACAAGCCACAAGGCACAACTAACAACTGACAGCTGATTCAACAAACATTTTTTTATTTTTCACAGTTTGAATCTATTATTTTTGGCTCCATTGCCAAACGTGCAGCCTCCGAGGCGCAATGCGTTCGATGTGCTCTGATAATTGTGTGCGCTGCACTTTGTGGGCTTTTTTTTTAGATTTTAGTTTTTACTCGTTGTGAGCACATACATAAGTATATTTATCTTGAGCTGCAGGCGTTGCTACAAGTATCCAACCCACACCCAAGTCGCGTCACATTCGGCGTTGAAGTCAACAAAGCGTGGCCAGCAACGAGGCGTTGATTTTGCCAGCCAAATGCAATTAAAGTCTTAGCTCGCATTCGAGATTTTTGTGTATATTTTGTATCTGTAGCTCAGTTATTCGCATCTGTGTGTAGATTGTGCTTGGGCTGCATTGCAACATGACAGCGACACAGTGAGACCGCTGTTAACTACTTATTGTACATTAAGCGTTCAGGTCTGTCATTATGTGCAAATATTTATACTACTTCTGCCCAAAGATACTCTAAGAAGGTCTGAGGTGTTGAAGATCTGGCAAGCAATTGAATTACAGAATGAATGAATTTAGTACTTAGCTTAGAATGTGGCCAGAGATAAAAATAATAATTTTTAAATATTCTGTATAGGAAACACAAATTTTAAAAATTAAAAAATATAAATAAATAAAAAAATACATTCTTCTTGGTTGCGCGACCGATT